AAGAAGGCGCGGAACAAGTACAAGCATCGAAGCGGGAATCTTGAGCTTGTCACGATCATCGAATGTGTCTGTGCTGATGGCACCGCGCTCAAGCCGGGCTTTGTCTTTTCGGGACAGTTGGCCTGTGACGAATGGTTCCAAGTCGATCCGGAAATCGTGTATGTTGCCTGTGATTTGATGTCAAGCTTTTGACTGATCCATTACAAGTGTCGCTCTGTCTGAAACTGGATGGACAACAAACGATATTGGCGCCTCGTGGTTCAGCAAAGGTTTCCTCCCTCAAGCTCGTAGGCGGAACAAGTCTGGAAAGAAGTTACTCATCATCTGGGATGGTCACGGCTCGCACGACACGCTCAAAATTGCGATGGAAGCTTTGGAGAACAACTGCATCATTCTTGTGCTACCTCCCCATACCACGCATATGCTGCAGCCGCTTGACGTTGGTGTCTTTGGCCCTTTCTCGCGCAATTGGATTGCTCAGTGTGATGTCTACCTGGAGGAGAACAAGACGGATATGCCCCGAGAGATCTTTGTGCGTGAATACATGCGTGTCCGCAATGAATCGTTCTCCAGCGAGATCATTCAGACAGCATTTCGGAAATCGGGAATGTGGCCACCAAATCGGTATGTATTCACAGCAGACGACTACGCTCCCAGCCTCGCATACTCTACAACACAGCGCGATGTGCCTGAGCCCCCTTCCTTCGACCCTCTGCAGCCTATCAACTTTGTTGTTCCTCTATCCGAGAGCGATGCCAATGGGAGCGAAGATGAAGACGAGGAAGACAGAGATGCGGATGTGGAGGAGGACGGAGACAAGGAAGAGAGAGAGGAGGACGAGGAAGATGTGGACCAGGACGAAGAAGATCAGAACGCTGTCATACTCACCCGTGACATCGGCTTAAACGAGCCTTGCGCTCATCCAACGACCATCAATCCAGCTTCGATTCATCCCACCATGTCCCAATCACTGTCAGTGTCCAATCCGGTGACTCCCACACCTGCTGGTCGTGTTACACGCTCCGGAGTTCTGTCCGAGCCCCCTGCACCATCATTGGCCTCAGCGGCAATTTCCCCACTGCATTTCTACTACCAGCCTCGTGTTTTCGACCGAATCCAGACGCTTGAAGACCGTGTCCAGACGCTGGAGGCTCATGCCCGAATGCAAGACATTGAGATCTCGCACATGAAGAGAAGGCTGGCGGAGAAGGAGAACAGACCAAGCAAGCGGCGGAAGGTCAACATGGAGGCTCACGTTGTCACGTCATCGGAGGGCTTGCAGCTGGCTCAGGAGAGGGATCGGGAGGCTGCCGAAAAGCAGAAGAAGAAGGATGTAACGGCGCAGAAGAAGAAGGATGCAGAGACTGCCCGGGCTGTGCGGCATCAGACGCGCGACCCAAACACTCCTTTCACCGGCACTCTCTCCAGCAAGAAGAAGGAGTCTCTCATCGACATTGCGCTTTCGCTTGGCCTCGACATCTCAGGCACTGTCAAGGAGATCAGGGCGAGGATTACTGGTCACTTCGCTGCCCACCCTGATGTTGCTTCATCTGCGAAGTACAAGCAGCTCATCGAAGCTGCCAGGCGAAGTTTTGGATTCCGTACCGCACCTGTTTCGACTGCGCCAGCTCCTGCGCCAGCTCCGGTCCTCCAACCTATTCCTGGCCCATCATCTCAACCTCTGATTGCTCCGTCCTCGGCTCCTCAGCAGCCTACGCTGCCTTACGCATCGGTTTCGGATCCTTATTCGACTTTCTCACTCCCGCCTCCTGTACCATACACATCTGGTTTCCGATGGACTTGAGATCCACATTATACATCACACTTATAAACCTATACACCTACTAATGGCTCGAGAACCTTTCCACCCGGGTCTAGCACCTCTCACATGTTGTCAATACATGTAATGTATCTACTTCACACTTATATTCTTTCTTCTGTGAGTGTCGACGCGACTCGGGGAGCACAAGATCAATTGCCGGTTCGGCCATCACACTGTCATCACTGTGTCAGTGTGACAATTGTGACCACACATGTAATTCCTCTCGCTCACATCCATTGCAAGCCCGGAATAGCGAAGCGTGTATCGAATACGATTTAGATACTTAATAATGTATTGCTCGTCTTTACCCGGCCTGAAATGACCAACGGGAGGCTCGGAATTAGAGAGATGAGCTTGAGAACACCTCATTTGATGCGCCGGCAGCGCTGAGCAATTCTTTGCACTTGCCCGATAGCTCTCAGACTTTGCACAATCATTTGAGAGTATATAAGGAATGATTTGAAAAAAACCCGAAGGCAATAGATGCATTAAATGGCTCTAACGACCGAAAACACCTCTATGGTGCAGAAACACCTGTCAATTGCGATCAATAGTATGTAGTAAGTCGTCGAGGGGACTTGAGTTGACTCCATCCCTCAGTACGCCGCCTCCTCCACCCACTGATCATCTCGGAACGTGGATCGGAAGCTGTGAGAAGCGAAAGCAAACAACGGCTGGCGGTCGATAGAGCGGTCATGTAGGCTGGAACCAAATGAGACACCTCGGTCCTCAATCGCTGGCCATCGACAGGAAGAGTAGATGGTGGCAGTATCGACACTCGTCGGCGGCAGCACTGACTATGTCAGCATAATGAGTAGTGTAGTCACCAAAACACGTGAAGGGTGCCAGCCAAGAGAAGGACCCCAACTACTTAGTGATGCCATTGCTGATTTTCCTTATTCAGACCTTGAACACCACCGACAACGGTAGCTGTCTGCACTCGACACTCGAGGCAGGCGCCCAGGCTCGAGCTCAAAGACCGCTGGTACCGGCGTTCTATATTTATAACCACGCCGGGTCGATGTTTCGGATGTCATAGCGTAATGCCCTGCATATGGCGCGTGTACAGATGACGCGAGGTATCCTCGATGTCACCCGAGAGCTGTCCCCGGTCAATCGTCAAGTCCAACATGGGATTTCCCTGATATGGCAGGTGAGAAATTTTGAGTTCATGGACACGTGATGCAGTGTGAAATTCATGTGATTCTAGATCTCCGGCCGCTGCGGCATGCAAGATGTATTGCTGGCGATCTTTCCCGGGCCGAGGGCACGGCTGGAGGTTTTGCTTTGCATCGCATCTCGTCTCGACATCTCTGCCGATCGCAGGCAAGCGCACCGGGCGGACCCTTGGTGTCGTGTGATCCGACATTCGACCGTTGCACTGGCGGACCGCCGCGTACCGTTGGCCATTAAGGACATGGTCTGTTTTGATAGATGCGATCGTGATTTGAGCTTGGGGGTCTTAGTGATGGATGTGACACACTGTGACATGATCTCTGGTCGTCATTTGGAACACGTCAGTAGTGCTCCCTTCTTGGTCTTCACCGTCACGTGACCAGGCCACGGTGAACGCTACAGTAATCTATGCTCACCTGGGACTCCTGAGCAGCTGCAGGCAACATATGCGAATCGTTTTCATGAGCTTTGCGCCAACGAGTAACTCAGGTAGGCCCGCGGATACTCCGTATCGGGTCGGTCCGCCAGCTCCAAGACTTTTACTCTATAAAATTGGCGGTTTGGGGTCACTTTTACTCTATTTCCGGACCGGAAAATCAAAAAATTTCTCCCACGCTACGAAAATTTCCAATATTTTGAGGCCATCAGTCCCGGTCGTGATCGAGTACTCATGCCGGTCGCTGCGGCTTACGGGAGAGCTTAGAGTGTTCCAAAATTGCGTGATTTGGCCATATTCAAGTCATATTTTAGCCAAAATCGGTCGGACTTCGCCCGACTTTTACTCTATGCCGGACCGCTTCCGCGCTCTGGAGCTCGATTTTACTCTATTTTCGGACCGGAAATCCAAAAATTTTCGGCCAACTTTTACTCTATTCCGGACCGACCTAATACGGAGTGTCCGCGGGCCTACTCAGGTATGTTATACTGCCTACGACACGCGCTTTTCCGAGACCGCCATCAAGGCTTTCGTGTGCAGGGACACGGTCCCGGGAAACTTCGACCCTGACTCCCTCAGATTTGCTCGTGTCCCACATCTCTGATTCATGCCTCCCTAGACGGAGTGTGGCACACTCTTTCATGGTCTTATTGCTAACCGCCCGTGCAACAATTGCACTCAGATCAGTCTCAACACTTCACAAATCGAGTGCGCGACAATCCGGGTGAGTGTGGGGTGAGAGGGGTGATCGGTGGCTATGCTGATTGGCTCTGTAGACATGCCGTTTGTTCCGTAGATAGCTTCGATCAGTGTTCTTCGCCACGCTTATCAGAGCATTGCCACCGATTCCCCTGCCTACAGCCATCCCAGTGGGCTTGGGTTTGGGCACGCGGCAAGGGATTGAAGCAGAGGGAAATGGCGATGAGTTCATTATCTGAGACAAAGACCACGAGCACTTGTGGTTGTGTGCACAGAAACCCATGCATGTGTTTCGAGAGGACTATTGATCACATGCGTGTAAAGTCGTGTGAACATCATCAGAAATGATCAGACCGAACTCATCCGATGGCTCAATTTTTTGTCTTTACAGCTGATGCTCTGAAGAATGATACAAAGGCATTCCTAGTAGGAATCATCTCTGAAAAAAACCGGGAATATGGACTACCCTCCATTGTAGAGTTATGCTCCCCCCGACACGATCACCAACGGCGAAGCGGCTTAGCACCGCCTTTTACGTCATTGTGTACCGGCGAGTCAGGGCATATGAGCCATCCTGTCACGGGGTGCCAGGACCCCGAGCACTACATCGTGTTCCATCATGGAAACAGACCATGTCCTGTATGGACAACGGTACGCCGCGCTTGTCCTTTGCCCGCCGAGGTGCGTGCGCGAAGGAGGTGCATCTAGTGTGCGTGGCAATATTATTTTAGATTTCTATTGCCGTTGTGCCGGCAGAAATGGCAATTGCCAGCTTGCGGCAAAAATGGCAAAACACAAAATGGGAATTCTAAGATGACATACACAACAAGCACGGCGGCACATGTAGAGTAGTAAATTCTATGAAAATTAAGATAAGATACCTCTAGCCGCAAGCAGCTTTTCAATATCAACAGGTCCCCCAGCCTCCTCATCTGAGTCGTCGTCAATGTGGATGGAATGATCCTTGTCGAAGTGAGTATTTGCCACACCGGCATCAATGCGTACGAGTTCTGCGAAGTCGTAGACCTCTGTTGGTGAGGGCACAGGGTTCGGAAAAAGTGGCACGCGTGCTTCGTCTTCGAGCCTCTTCTCCCATTCCGCCAATTCCTTCTCCATTTCTCCGTCTGCCCAGCTGTCACTCGTGTCCACGCCAACGTCATTCTCGACCTCCTCGACAACCAGAGGCGGTTGCCATGTGAAATTTGTCTCCAGTTCATCGGCAAGAGAAGTGTCGATGCCCGGGTGAGTCCTTGTATGCATATGAGCGTGTTGTCGGCGAACGGGCAGACCTTGAGCGACCCGGGATTGATGCAGGTGGAACGCGTAGTTGTTCCGAAGTTTACCCAGTGCTTCGAAGGTGGGCACACTGAGGTTACAACGCTTGACTCCCTGGATGCCAGATAATCCAGAGAAAAGACGCTCCACATTGGCTGAATGGGGCACGACTGAAAAGAGGGTGATCGCAAGTGTTGTAAGTGGATGCGCAGTACCTGTAATGGGAAGATTTGTCCACCATTCCAAGGCATTTGTAGAACCGCCCGAAAAGACGCCCTGGTGTGCATGATAGCGCTGCATGTCATCCAGCAGCTTCTCAGAACGCGCCGTGTTCCAGCCCCACCGTGTAGTTACAATGGTGCAAGCAATAGTGCACATGTCCGAGAAGCTACGGCTTTTAGTCACTTGAGACACGGCAAGGCGACAGCAGCGTGGGTGAAGGAAGAGCGTGAGGGCGTGAATGTCAGTGTTCATCTCATGAAATTCTCGCATGAATGTCTCTCGCGCATGGTCCAAAAACTTGACATCGTCACGATCCGGGATGAGTTCGAGGGTGGTGACGTGACGTGCACATCAAAGTAGCTCTAGCATGCAGTCGGCAAGATTGGCATCCCTCGACTCGAGGTTACCAACTGCATCAACCAGAGGCTTGCATACACGGACAAGTTGCTCGAGACGATCCCAGAATGTGATGTCCATGACCCATTTGATGACTGCAGCAGAGACTGGGGTGTTTCCGTTTGTTCGCCGCTGGGCATCATCTCGCGAGCATATCCGGAGAAGAGAAGCACTTCATAGCGATTAGATCATGTAGACATGGATCAAGAGTGACGCACCGATGAGCAATCACACTTAGGGCTTGTAAGATGAGTGAATACCATCGTGATTCTGTGCGGCTTTTCAAAGAGCGTCCAACTTTCAAAGCCTTGGCTTCAATAGCCAGTTGCCCTCCCCAGTAATGGGAGCTATTGAAGAACGAGACAACGGTGGCCATTCCCGAGATGTATATCTTCATCTCGGGAAAGACCACAATCTTGCCAATGGCCGTGTTTAGAAGATGGAGGAAGCAAGTGAATGTCTTTTTAGGAAAAGAAATCAGCATCACAAAACCCACAATACTGTGGACTCACGAGAATCCAGGGATAGGATAACTGGAACTTTGTGCGGAATGAACGCATCACCGTAGGGTTGTCCGTCGTCAACGCAATCATGTTCTTTGCGTCGGCGATTTCCATATTAGCCAATGCGTCCTTGACTGTTGTTACGTAGTTGTCCGCCGAGCCCCGATTGCCTGACATGTCCGTCAAAGCAAGAACTGTCGGAAACTCTCCCATCCCGGCAGAGACTGTGCCATACAAGCTTCGCCTCATCTTGTCCTCCCATCCATCGAAAAGAATGGTTTGCCGTGTTTGGGCCTGAACGCGTGCGATCTCCTCCAGTTTCACACGCGAGACTTCAGCCTGCATCAAGCGATTGCTCAAGACATAACGTGATGGGATCTCATAGGAAGGACGGAGTGTATTGATCCACTCCTTCAGATATGGGTTCTCGGAGATGCGAAAGGCACTGTTACTGTGCACGACAAATCTGCAATCAAATCAGCACTCGATGCACTTTATACTTGACAGATGACCCACCGAAAGAGCTTGATATCAGCGAGCTCTTTCAGGCTCTCCGGTAACGGATGATCAACGTAATTGTCTAGATTGTTGGCCTTCCGTTTCTTCGTGACAACAGCAGTGTTTGCAGTCTGACTGAGAGACAGTGTCAAAATTGTGGGCCCGGAATCGACAGCCGGAGTGACTTGAGTGCTTGGAGTAGAGCCTGGACCAAGCAGAGGGCCAGTCTGAACTGACGCAAATCCCTTTCGAACCAAGTGTAGATGCGCTTCTTGTCTGATTTCCGGCGTAGCGCCGACGCACTTGGTGAGATGGATGGCAGGCCGCTGATCCCGGCCTTCCATGGGAATCACATCACAGTGCTTGCAGGCGAAGAAGTGACGCTTTGATTGATTTTGAACTGCAGCGACACGTGTAAAGTGGTCTTCGACAATTCGATCAGCCGGACGTCCTGGTTTTGTCTTGCCACTCATTGTGCCGGTAAGAAAGATGAAAATTTCAGTCAGATTGACACACTGTCTACGATATGATCTGATGAATTCCTAATTAGCCGAAATCATTTTGCCAGCCTTTGCCATACCAGCCGTGGCAATTGCCGGCAATTGCCATCACGGCAAAATTGATGGGCAAATCATTTCTGTTTTGCCAACAACACTAGGTGCATCGCAACACATGCAAGTACAGTGGTATAGGGACACGAGAGAAGCCTGGCTGCCACGTGCGCGGGGATCGTATCCGAATTGTTTCCGAAGCTTGGTAACCTAGGAAGCCCTGCGAGTATCCCGCTGCTTCGTTGAATGAATATGATTCCCGTGCCGAAGATCTTCTGCATGCCAGAATGGGTTTGGGCCGGAGAGGTCACCGGGGTCTGCTTCTTGCGGCGCTCCGTCAGCGGATTCCCAGAGGGTCTCACCTACGAGATGAGGCTGACGTCGTGTTTGTCTCTCGATGGCCCATGTCTATCTGTCGCCTGCCATTCGCTGTGTTCTGTGGCCAACAGCCGACCTCCAACCCTTGAGGGTCCGGGTCCCAGCGCGCGCGTGCGCGCTGCCAAGTCTGTTGCTAACGCATCGCCCTCCGTCGCGCGCACAGGAACAAGGCATTTCCGGTTCAGGAAGTCCGACAATCAGCAGGACGATCCATCAATCGCTTCTCTGAGATAGCCGGACTATTTACCGCGCGTGCATCCCGCTGCTGACCCGCACGAGTTGACAAGTCGACAAAGCGACAGTCCATTGGGGGATGAGATTATAAGTGAGGGGGGTCGGGAGGGCCAGGAACCCATCCCAAGTGCACCTCCCCACACACTCCCTCACTTGATTCACTAATTATCCGCCATGGCACCTGCGGCATTTTCTCCCCGCTTCATCGCGCTCGTCGCTCTCTCGAACGTCGCCGCCGTTCTGGCAGGCACCTACCAACGCGCGGATCTCTTCGTCGGCGCGAACTTCTACGATTCGTTTGACTTCCAGGCAATTCCGGATCCCACACACGGCCGAGTGTGCGTTCACATTTCATCTTCTGCCTGTCAGTCCAGCTGCCGTCGCATCGCTGACGCTTCGGCTCTCCAGAAACTACGTCGACCAGGCGACGGCGCAGGCACAGAACCTGACGTTCGCCGGCCCGAACAAGTTCGTTCTGCGCGCGGACCACACGACGGTCATCTCCGACGCGAGCCCCGTCGGCCGCAACTCGGTGCGCATCCAGTCGAAGAAGAAGTACAGCACCCATGCTGCGGTGTGAGTTCTGTCACTCCTTTCAGTCAAATGCTGCGGAGAGTTCATGCGGGATCAGGTTCGATATTGCGCACATGCCGGAGGGTTGCGGGTGAGTTGCTACGGTTTTGTGTTCTTGGTTCTGATAGACTGATGATAATCCTGCTCAGAACTTGGCCTGCTATGTGCGCGTGATTCACACATTGTACAGAAGCCGTTGATTGATTTTTCGCTCCATAGTTGGGAAACTGACACCGTCGTCTGGCCCCACGGGGTGAGTGCATTTCATCTTTCCATCATCAATTTGATTTCCAATTTCCGCCTTCTAGGGTGAGCTCGATATTATCGAGGGTGTGAACGGCGTCGGCAGCAACCAAATGACTTTGCACACCGACCCAGGTACGTCTCCTGCCAATAATCACGTATTTTCGGGACTGTAAATGGGGAAAACAGGCTGCACGATGCCCCAGAATCGGGCCCAAACGGGTACCTCGCTGCAGCTCAATTGCGACGCCAACGTGAACGGAAACGCCGGCTGTGGAGTGAGCGCCGGCCAGCCACTGAGCTACGGACCGGCGTTCAATGCCAACGGCGGAGGCTGGTATGCCATCGAGCGCAGCCCCAACGGTATCAACGTCTGGTTCTGGGCGCGCTCCGACCCCACCGTCCCGCAAGAAGTCCGCGTCGGAGGAGTGGGCATCAACACACAGGGCTGGGTGCGTCCAGCTCCACATTCGATCATGAACAATAACCGATTCTCGACAGGGCACCCCGACCGCGAGCTTCCCGAACACGCAGTGCAACATCGGCCAGTTCTTTGACGCGCACAACATCATTATCAACCTCACGCTCTGCGGCGACTGGGCCGGCCAGCCCCAAATCTACGCGAGCGCCGGCTGCCCGTCGTCGTGTATGAGCTTCGTCGATGCGAATCCTGCGGCATTTGCGAACGCGTACTTCGAGATCAACTCGATCAACGTTTACACATAAGCAGTGGGTTGGAGCGCAGGTATTTTTGGATTAAATTATCGCCATATGGATCTGTCTCGGCTTATGAGAGAGTGTTACTCCTCTGTCCGGCCATTAATAATACTCCGATTTGAACCGAGCTCAGTCAACATTAAAGTGAAATATGATTAATCAGCACTGCACCGAAAGCCACAGCCTTCCGGGTTTCGAAGGTTGATTGGGTTCCAGTTGCTGAGTAAAAGAGATCTTGACCGCAATCTCAAAGGGGTAGGTCAGAGTGGACGACGAGGTGATCGGATTTAAAATGGGATGAATTGGTTCGCACATTATTTGCATCTGCGTCCTCAGAAATGATCGCCTGCGTGTAGTGTTGATTGGCGCAGCTGTTTTTGTTTGTTGTGCTCTCCAGCAATGATTCAGTGTTCGCCTTAAGGATTAAGTGTGCCTTAAAATCAAGGCCTAAATTACCTTTAATTTTAAGCCTTTGCTTCAGCTATGGCACATGTTAAGGCTTAATTTAGGATACTCAAGGCCCAGTTCGGGAACTACAGGTAAGTTGACAGCTAGTACCTGTAGGGCCAAAAAAATGGATGTAGATGTAGCAGATTTCAGCTATCAAAAGTTCCATTACCTGCAGAATCTTGACTGTTTGGTAGACACATCTACCTGTACAGGTACCAAAAAAGGAAATCACGCGGCCATCAAGCTCCTTAGTACTTTCTCTCTCATTCCATGGGCGGCGGCACTAACAAGTAGAACAAGCCTTTCTGCATGTTGTGGGGGACTGAGGACAATGATTCACCATATCTTGTCCTTATTGGATGAGAGAAAGGTGTTATAGAGCAAGATCTGTAGCGTAGATGGCTGCCAATAACACACTTGACTGGAATGACATTGCCTTGCTTGTCAAGGCATTCTCCACACCCATAATTCGCCCTTTTGATGGCCTTGTTGATCCGGTAACAGTGTTCCGCATTTCCCCGGGACGTGCGTGGCTTAGAATGTAGCAATAACATTCTACAATAAACGTCTTTCCCTCTGCATCTCGCGTGTCCTCCCTGTCTTTGCCTGTCCGTATCGCCTTGATCTTTTGCCGGCCGCCGCGCGCGGATTGCACACCATGTATGGTGGCCAGTGGTTCTTCGTTGTCACCATGCTTTGACGGCGCGTCTAATACCACTGGTCAATTGTAATGAGTGGTCAACGGCGTGCAGTTGGCTTTGGCAACATGCACCTGTATTCTTCTTGAGCACCATCAAGTCACTTTGGCCCACCCATGCAGCTCTTTTTCATTTGGAGGTATGTGTAGACATTGTCATTGCTTGTCTACCTTACGTCCTTCACAGCTGCAATCTCCTGGACTTCTTGATCAGTCTTTGATCGTCATAGTCTCCCACCACCTCTTTGTTGATCCATTCAAATCCTCGAGTCTATGTTGATCAAATGATGATCTTATCATCTGCCAGATGGATGTTGTGATACACATCTTATGACTCCATCACGTGTCATCTAGAGTCATGTCGACTCGTCCTAAATAGACACAAATAGCCCCCTGTATTGTATATAAGGAGGGCTCTATTACCCTATAATCCAAGTCTCTTGACTACTCCCGCATAGTGCCCACACTAAGCTCTCACTCACACAGGTGAGCTGCTAGACGCTCTCCCCAGTGCTCAACAGGTTATGGGCCCCGAGAGCTATGTCTGCGCCTCAATGGCCGCGACATTCATTGTATGCGCCATCACTGGCTGCAACGATGAGCAGCGTCTTTAGCCTATCTGTATTCACTTCAGCTGCTGCACAGCGCTGGTGAAACCATGCCGGATCGCGATTACATCGCTTGATCCAGATGCATCGATCTCTCAAGGAGATTATGATCTATGAGAATCTGATCATCTTGATCTTTGATTTTATCTATCAGATTAGATTGATGCTGATTAACTCACACAGATCAATATGTCGTCCAACTCCAACAACATCTTCAATGCTGTCTCCATCTTTGATGGAAAGCACTGGCTCGTATGGTCCGGAACTATGGAGTCCTACCTGGAACATCAGGGGATCTCATATGTGCTGACCGAAACGGCGCCGACTGAAGTCAAAGCTACCGATGGCTCTGTGACCAACGCATCAGAGATCAAACAATGGAAGCATGATGATCTCAGAGCCAAAGGCAGCATTAAGTTGCGCCTGACTGAGGGAGTCATTGCTAACATTCCTCCTGCGGATATAGTGTCAGCTGCCAAGATCTGGGCGCATCTGAAGACCCAATACGGTGGTGCTCAGTGCGCCGACCTATATGCGTACTTCCAAACCGCGTTGAACGCCAAGTACAACGTGGGGTTGCACCCGGATCCACAGCTGCTGGTGATCACTACGGCGTTCGCTCGCCTGGAGAATGAGTCTTTGAGCATCCCTGAGTTCCTCAGAGCGATGATCATTCTCAACATAGCCCGGATTCCCTCCGTCACAGAGACTGTTCTCCAGACCTATGAAAAGGACGAGATCAAAGTCTCGGCGGTGCGTGACGCTCTCTTGACGCATTTCGCTCAGAAGCAGTCTCAAAGCCAGAATCATGTGGCCAAGTTCAATACCAAGCGCAAGCGCGATGACCCTTCGTTCACCAATCAGCAACAGGGCTCTGGCTCTGCACCCGATAAGGGTGATAAGGCTGATGGAAAGAAGAAGAACCGTTGAGGCAAGCGCAGTGGGAAGAACAAGGACAACAAGGGCAAGGGCAAGGCTGATCACAGTCATGTCCATGGAGTCTCCGAGATCACTGGCTCCCT